ATTTATTTATTCCATAAATAAATAAATAATAAGCCCAGTCCTTGTTTCCTAATCTCTTCTTGAATATGTGCATTTCACAAATGAAGGACTTTGCATTGACATGGCACCTTTACATAATATACACTTTATACATCTGTATAAGTTTTACATGGTCTTTTGTTCCTTGAACACAGATGAGAAGATTTTGAAATTGTTTTATTCTTTAGTTTTTCCCAGGTTTTTCAAGGGTCATTAACCAGTTGAAAGGTGTGCTTGCATCTGGCATACACATGGAGTGTCATTATTTGTACAAATAATGTTATGTTATTACCTTTAAAATGGCTTGCATTTTGTCTCCAAACATCCTTGAGGCTGGAAACCTCCAAGATTAATTTGATTGCCCAGATGCTGAGAACCATGAAAGCAACAGCTGGATTTGCTTCTTACAAGGTTGACCAAGATCATATTAATTGTTTACAGATTAAAATGTGGTAGATGGAGAAAACAGAAGAATTAGCCCATGATGGAAACACAGGCATAGGTATGCATGCACACACAGCATGTTTACAAAATATATGAAGTGATTTCTTTGTCAACAAATAGATCAACATTATGATGAGGGTGTAGTGGCTGGCAGCTTCCATGTAAATGAGGCAGAGAATCACTTTCAAGTTTTACCACAACTCTAAAGGAACTATTTGCAGTGCTGAACTCTACTTCAAACAATGACGACAACAACAACCCACCTCTGCCCATGGATTGAGGCAGGAAACAACAGATTTGAATACATCAGATTAACACATAATACCAGTGGAAAGAGCATATAAAACCATATGCATTTAAAATAATCAATACATACTTTAATATCCATTATTTAAAAGCCATCTGGATAGGCCTGCTGGAATAGACCTTTGAACTCAGACAGTATATCCAGCTGACAAATCTCCTCTGACAGGTCATTCCACAATCTGTGGGTGGCTGCAGAAAATGTCTCTGCATAACAATTGTCAGCCTTGTTTTCGCTGATTGAAATAAATGTACCCCACAGTATAGGGGGAGGACTATATGGGAGAAGATGATCCTGTAGGTAACCTGGGCCCAAAGCATGTAGACCTAAAGGTAACAACCAGCACTTTGTACTTTACCTGGAAATTAACTGGCAACCAGTGGAGGGTTTTTTAGTAATATTACTATAATATGATCACTGCTAAATATGCCAGTAACCAATCTGCCTAGCCAAGATGTACCACCAGAACTCTCACACACTTGTAAACTTCTTGATTTCTTTTGCACATGTGTAATACATAATATCCAAGATTTTGTAGCCAAGGACATCAGTCAAATTACTATTATATACTGTGTCTCCAAATCACCTGTGCAATCAGGTTGGAATTCAAGGCACATTTAAAGTGTCTTAACTGGTGAGGATGATCGAGGGCCAGCTGAAGATGTACTGAGTCCAAAACTCGCCCAGTTTAAAGATATTGGAAATTAGTGAGGATTAACCTCACTCTGGCATGATTTTGTGTTACCATTGTGGATGTGTTCCCAATTTGGAGAAGTTTGGATCTGGTGTAGGGTGATTCCTTTTTTGCTTCACTCCTTCTAAGCCCATTTTCTTGTTGGCAGATCTTAGCTGGCAGATTGCTTTATTGGCAGATCTCTGAAAGTAGCCAGCAAAAGATGAATTGTGCCATCAAACGAGGCATATGCATAATGCTAACCATCTACAAATAATCTTGCTTGGAGCATCTTTCATTTCTAACTGCTTTATTAGAGTGGCTGAGATTAGTGCAAGAAAAAACAAATTCATCAATCCAGCATTAAGCAAAGCCTTTCCCTCAGACTATTTTGTCTTCTTTTGTCCATGAACATGTGTTGCCACCAGATGGTAGTAGAGAAGTATGGAGTCCAAAGAGAAACTTTAGTGGAATAAATAATGCTTGAAAGACTTAGAATTTTACCACACAAGATTTTTTTTTAAAGGGAAAAACCTATCTGGAGATTTTCTCCATGCCACTCTGCATGCTCTTGTAGCACTTCTGTTCTCTTCTCGAGGGGAGATGGTTTTCAAAGTATGCCTTCTGCCAAATGATTTTTCAGCAAAAGGGATGATCTGACAACCATCTCCCCTCGGGAAGAGAACCAAAGCACTAGACTGTTACCCAGAGTGGCATGGAGAAAGGTGCTACTCTCCCTTTCAGTTTTGCCTTTTCCCTTCATATGGTAATATCTGTAGGTAACCTCTCTTTGTACTAGCCAATTTAATTTAGATAGTGCATTGTTTTTTAGTCAGTTTGAGTTAGGATAGGTTGTTGTGGCACCGAAACACTCTGACAGAGAAGGCTAAATGTCTCACAAAACTACAAATCCCACAGTTCCACAGCATTGAGCCATGACAGTTAAAGTGGTGTCAAACTGCATTATTTCTGCAGTGCTGGTGCAGCCTGGATTTGATTTCCAAAAGGGGGAAGCTTTCCGCCGTCTTGGAGGCAAGGAAGGGGAGGGGCAGCCTCACGCTGGGTGCTCCAACCCCTTCCCGAACACTTCATCGGAGCTCCCATCGCTTCACATGATGGGTGCTCCGATGACGTACTTCTGCTGCGGTGCCCGCGCACGCTGCGGCGGAAGAGATACTGAAGGTGTGCCCAACACCTCTTGCGGCGCACCTTCGGCGCCTTGTGGAAGGAGCGCTATTTTAGCACTCCTTCCAGGGCCTGAAAAGGGGAGGATTGGGGCCGAGGAGGGCAGCTACCTTGGCCCCAATCCACAGCTTCTTGGGGCGGCCCAAGGCTGCCTGTCTGCTTAGGCCCTTACTCTCTCCCTTTCTCTTAGCCCTTTCACACTACTCAAATGTAGTATTATATTCCACTTTAACTGCTCTAGCTGCATCTTATGGAATCCTGGGATCTACAGTCCTCTGAGACATGAGAGCACTCTGTCTAAGAATTCTACAAATACTCCTCCCTAACCTGCAAATCCCAGGATTCCATAGGATGTTGTCACACTGATTAAAATGGAATATAGCTCTATAATTATGTAGTGTGACACTCACCCTCTTACTCTCATTAATCACAAATACAGACTAGTGTGGGACTAGGCATAGAAACTAAAAATCCTGGTTTATGTTGTATTCTTGGTGGGCTCTCTCATCTCCCAGCCATAAAAATATATACCGATGAGAATATTATCGTTCAATCAATCCCAGGTGTCTATCAGCCAGGTTCTATTGAGGGTGTCTGAGTTAGCTTGCCAAAGTGCGTAAAATCAGTAACAGTGCTTGCTTAGCACCTCCAGGGCGTTTTATGAGTATCAGCTAATGGCTTCACCACACCCTAGATTAAGATGTGATTGTTATCTTCATCTGACAGGCTGGGAAAAATTAGGTATTCAAAGGCACTGTGACTTGCCAACAATCAAACTGCATCATGGACAGGTTGCCTTAGCAAAATAGGTTAATGCTGAAAATATAGACACAATGACTAGGGAGTAAGCCCTAACTGATTCACCA